TCCCTGTGAAGCTCTGTGCTAAAGGATAGAACGGGAAACTGTAAAAGCATGCCAAAAATCAGTCCCAGCTGTTTCCCAGTACAAGAATGGCACAAATATCATGACCACTCACATGTAGGGAGGCAGAAAGGATGAGAAATTGGCTCTATGTGTCATCTTATAATACACAGTCATAACAGCCTACTGGGATTTTGGACTCTGTAGACTGTGGGCTCAGGCTGACCAGGGCTAGTTACCACAATAAATACCTATTTATCCATGCAGGGAATCACTTTATCTTGTCTTCTTCTAAGACATGTTCAGCTCTCCACACACCCATCACATCCCCACCAATCCAGTGTTTAGGAGACACACACACACAACATTGTAGCAATTGCATAACAATTTGACTGGGAGGACGCAGGCACCAGGTCATCAGAAAGAAAGCTAAAAGCAGGCATAGAACATATAGATGCATCGTTCTATACTGGCACATTCTATATTGTTTTACATGGTGTTTAAAGGAACAAGAAATACATCATTCATTATCTCTTCTCTAGCACAAAGACTGGAGGATTCTCCCTACAGCAAATGAGACCATCTTCTTCAGGTGATGAGAAGAGGAAAATTCAGTAATCTAGCCCACACTCTTCTGGTATTGAACCCCATCCTTAACTAGAAGGACCCTCTTCACAGATTCACAGAAGTTTCTCTTAACTCTACTGCAAACAGATGGACAATGGTTTTTGTGACTGCAGAGGGGAGCAAAAAATGTTTCTGTTCCGTATAGAATTTCTTTGCAGAACACTTTAACATTAGTCCATGACCCAATTTTCATCATGTCCAGTTTTTTCCTTTCTTTTTTCTCCCTCAGATAGTTTACATTATAACACATTTTCATATAATTTTAGAGCAGATTAAATGTTAACTGAATGCAATAAGTAAATCTCCCTGATGCATCGTGAACATCTTGAAGAATTTCACTATTGCAAAATATCACAATCTTTAATAATAGGAATTATAATTGCACCAAACTATGGACCTATGACCAAAGGTCTTGGGATAAAACTCCACAAGGATTGTAAACATTGATGCAGAAACATTACATACAAAAGGGCATGCTCTTCTTCTATAACTATATGCATGATTCTGGTGCTCTTTGTGTGTATTCTACGACCTTCTGGTACCTCTTACAGCACGACTCAACCCTCCTCAAAAACCTTTGTCCTTCCTGCTCTGCCTGGTTGATTGTTCAGCAGAGGTGTGACATGCATTATCTCAACACCACTTAAACTTCTCTGATGTCTAAGATCATCAGGGAATAACAGTACAGTACATAGAAGACAGAGACACTGCAGCAAAAAAGGGGCTTGTCATTGGTGGAACGCTGACCTGACTTCCAAGACAGCACATGGGAGGGAAAATAAAAAAGCAGGATCCAGGGGAGGTGGAGAAGAAAAGGCAGGCAGGAAGAGCTACACTGCATTGAGCTTAAAGTCTTATCAGACAAGGGAGAAGGCAACAAGATAGGAAGGGGTGAAAAATGCATCATTTCTTTTTAGTTACCTCCATGGAATCAGCAAGGCAGCCATGCAGGCATCCGGTTACCAGTTAACCCTGTAATTGTCTGGTTTGTAAGGCAGTCAATGCTGTTTGCAGGAGATAAGACCGCAGGGAGAAAGGATTTACTGTTTCATGTACTGTCACTTAAAATCAAAAAATCCTCTGCAAAAGGAGGGGCAGCTGTTCTCAACCCATTTAATTTTCTTGCCTCCTAAAATGGGGTGTGTTGAATTTTCAATGGAAGCTGTTCAAGAGTCGAAAGTTGATCATAGCAGGCAGTGCTGTCCCTCCTTTAAACTGCTAAGACCGAGGTTTAAGTCCAACTTCAGGTCTAAGTGAAATAAGCCAGGCAGTCTCAGCTCACCAAGGAGTGGAAGGATTTGACATTATGGTACGTGCCATTCAACACCATTGGAAGTCTCTCCTCAGTGGGTACAGCTCAGGACTGAACTGGTTAAGGAGACCAAACTACCTCTTGCCCCTGTCATCCCTCCACGTCATGGTTGGTGTTACTGGCACTTCAACTACCCTGTAAATAAAATAATATGAAGACTTCATGCTTCTGTGGATGCTGGTTCTCTATCCATCACAGGCTCAAGCATTCGCATAAAAAATACAAGCATAATTTCTGGTGTATCCAATCTCAGGGAATCTTGGAGTCTGCCTGCCTGCATGTAGCAGGGACAGAAATGCACAATCTGTGAAAGGCTGAGGGGAAGGAGAAAAGGACAAAGAAGGTGGGCAGGGATCTTAGGCTTCAGCACAGCTGCTGCTCATTTCTTTGCCTGCTGAATGAATCTCATTTCACAAAGAAAGGCAAGGGTGTACCAGGCAAGAAACTGGTGGGACTCAGAGTGGGATGGACCTGCACTTGGTTTACCTCCTCATCACAACAGAGGGGAGGCATCTGACTACCACGCTATCCTCTGACCCTTAAGGGCACTTGTACATGTGATGGGGGTTTAGTCCTTCAGGGTTATAGTCTATGCCCCCTAAATTGAAACAGTGGGTTTTATTTTTCTGTCACTGTATACACATCATTGTCCTGGTGGCTGCAGTTGCCCACTGAAAGCAGAAGTGGCAAGGGGCCTGATCCTTTTTTTTTCAGTGGAGCCTGCCCACCTCTCCCATGGTGAGCTGCCAGCAGGCCAAGAGGCCCCTGAGCTGCAGGGGGCCCTG